AATAAATAAAATCTTTAAAAAAAAAAAAAACCAAACTGCAGACTCTGAGCCCAAACTATGGCATCCACCCCAACTCACTCCCACATTAGAAGATATGAACAAACACAAAGATATTTTCTAATAGTCAAAGCAGAATCTCCAGGATGATGATTGTAGCCCCCTTAAGTTCCTTCCCAGGAAAGTGCAAGGCTGCCAAAAGCATTTACTATTTGTTCCCGCCAACATCTGAAGATAGAGCCCCTGCCTCCCAGTCTCTGTGGAAGGACAGAAGTCTGACTTCAATAAGCAAACTCAAATGAGTTTCATGTGGCTCAACACCCCTTCCTGTTTTTTGTAAATTTCCATTTCCCTGACTCTCCTCAAGCTCTGGCAAATCCCATCCTTACTGCCTCTCTCTTCCTTTGAAACATGCGGTCACCTCTGCACAAATTGAAGTTGAGTTCAGTTCATGCTAGAAACTCTATTGCAATAGTTTATTACTGATTAAAATCTATCCTTACTACTTTAATTAGTGTCTAGATTTGTATGTCTTTGGTAGCATTGTCAGCAACATACACTCTGATATCCTGGTCGATCTGATTCCTGAGGTTGGTGTGGCACTTAGGAGAGTGACTATCTCCAGGAAAATGTCTGCGGGCAAGAGGCAAACACTGACCAAGTGAAGGTTGGAGAAAATACAATACAGATGAAAGCATCAGGAATGACATGTTTTAAAGAAAGATTATTCCTAATAGAGAAAACATTTGGATCCACAATTGAATATTTTTGAAGAATTTTTTATCATAAGAACTTTTAAATAGAGGAAGGTTCTGGTCACACAAGCTTACTCTTTTTTTTTTTAATTTTATTTATTTATTTGACAGAGATCACAAGTAGACAGAGAGGCAGGCAGGCAGAGAGAGAGGAGGAAGCAGGCTCCCTGCCGAGCAGAGTCTGATGTGGGACTCCATCAACCTGGGACTCGATCCCAGGACCCTGAGTTCATGACCTGCACCAAAGGTAGAGGCTTAACCCACTGAGCCACCCAGGTGCCCCAAAATATACTATGTTCTAAGCCTTTGTTTCTACCCATAAAAAATAATAAATTTTATGAAAATTAGTCTCAAATTTCTATACACATGAATGTGTTACTGTAAGAAAATTTATTATATTATTTGATTTAGGAGTATAATGTCATTCATACAATCAGAATTTCTTTGTTTATTCTTTAGCCATGTTCTGGCCTTTAATATTGTTTCTTTGACAGTAATACAGGCAATTTTATAATTTAACCATATGCCTTAAAGGTCCAGTAAACAAACTTAGATTAAGACAAATAAGATAAAACAGACAATAAGATACTCAATAGATTTACTTAGATCCATTCACTTAGCATCAATGCATAATATATTCCAAAAGCGAGCATATATCAAATGCAAAATGGATAACCTTAATTGGGTTCAGTAATTGGATAAATGGTCAAACAATTTTCATTTGCATATGCTTTGGGCATGCATTTCATTCCTTATTGATCTGCTTTATTGAATTAACATTTCAATTATTTGTTTTGATAGGAACAGGGAAGATAATCATAGGAAGGAGCAGTGGTAGAGAGTATGTCTCTTGCTGCTGCACAAAGCACACATAGCAGGTGATGATGCCAAACAGCTAACTCCCAGAGAGACCTGAACGGCACATCTTGGCACATGTGGGTAAGTATAATGTTTATTCATCTAAAAAATGAGAAATTATTATAAAAATATAAGAAGTAGAAAACCCTACACAAGTTAAAATACAGAAAAATTTTAAGCAAAGTTATTTGAATCAGGCAATATTTAATGTATCAAATAGTAATCTTAATAACTAGGTACAAAGGAATCTAAACCCAGGACACTAACCATGTCAAAAGGCAGCAGACATCCTGACCACCCCAGAATCCTTTGCCAAGGTTAGTGTTCTCTGATTACACATTTAGGCACCCCCTGTTTATAAGAGTACTTGTTTATTATTGATATTATAAAAATAACCATTCTCTAAATTATTACACATAGCAAATAAAATTAGAACTATACATAAGGATCTGAATAATTGCAATTTCTTTAAGGACCACCTGCAACTTCTGCCTGCTTCACAGACCTGTAGGGGAGAAACAAAACAAAAGAAAATGTGCTTAATAATACATCTACAATGAAACATATTAAGAAGAAAGTTTGGGACCTTAATGCTTTCCTGTACTCTGTATGAACTTTTACAATGGCACTGACCTTAGGGTACCACCACTAACTGTACTGACCTTAGGGTACCACCACTAACTGTACTTTGCTGTCAGGATGTCAATTTCCGGTATCTATATAAACCCTTTTTGTATATTTAATTAGGAGTAGGTATTCTACAGATATCTTGGACTGTTGAAAAAGACTTGCTTCCCTCCTTTCCTGTAGGAGGGAGCCAAGGGAGAAATATAGCCAATGAGAAATACTTGCAAGGCATGTATACAATTACTATCTTGGAAGGAATTATGAAAACTGAATTTAGGAAACTAGTGTGGCATAAGATAGATCAGGCTATATCCTTACTTCAGCACTGGAACTATGTGCCCATACTGCTTGATTGAAAAGAATTCCTTTATTTTTTTCCTAGAGGAATATGATTATGATGGCAAAGGGAAAGATACATGCTTCTAGAATATTTTATCTGTTTTTTTTCTGTTTTGTTATATTTAATATTTGTATTAAGTATTTGATTAATACATTAATATAATTTATTATATTTAATATTTCAGATTCATCTACTAGACCATGAATACTTTGAAAGAAAAATATCAATCTCCAACTTACTTATAGGACCTGAAAGAATATTTTGCACATGGTGTTTGCTCAGTAAGTTTTTGTATGGTGGGAAAGAGAGAGAGGAGAAAGGGAGAAAAAGAGGAAAGAAGGGAATCCAGTTATTTTTGCACATATTTTCCCTTATCTGGAATACTTTATTTACCCCAACCAATCCCAGCTAACTCCTTTATCTAATTAACTCCTACTCCTTTAGGACTTAGTCATCAATATCACTTTCTCTAGGCTCTTTGACCATGATTCAAGGTAGAATTCTCTGCTGCATGCACCTATCTCACCCTAGTTACATAAGGATAATCTGCAGTGTTTTATGTAAATCATGTTCAATGTATGACTTCATCATTTAGTAAGCGTATGTCACATATGATAGTGACATGTTATTCTCTGGCATAGTTTTAGGTCTTTATTAAAAATGCATCAAATGAATGATTTACTTATTTAGATCTCTTGGACAGAAGGGCCATATACCTGCATCTTATACAAAGAACATGCGAAGGACTAAAGAAGAGAACAGCATGATCTGTGTGTTCTACGATGGTAGAGGAAGAGAGAGAAAACTTCTGTCCGTGATACAAAAAGAACCAGAAAGAAGGCAGCTACAAGGATTCAGATTTGGGGGCAAAAAAAGAGAATAACCTCACCTGAAGTAGGTTTTAAACATTTTATACAACTTAGGCAATACTGTTTGCTTACTTGCCTGCTTTCATCACCATACTGTATGTTACATCCCCATGACTTATTTATTTCATGATGGGAAGTTTGTGCTTTTTGATCACCTTCACCTATTTGCCCAATCCCTGTCTCTGGCTAACACCAATCTCTTTTCCATACCTATGAGCTTGGTTTTTGTTTTTGTTTAGATTCCACATATAAGTGAGAGAAGATGTTATTTGTTTTTCTCTGACTAATTTCAATCAGCAAAATATCCTCAAGTTTCATCCATGTTGTTGCAAATGGCAAAAGTTCATTCTTTATGGCTGAATAATGTTCCATTATATATGCATACCACATTTTCTTTATCCATTTATCTGTTGATGGGCACTGACATTTTTTGCATATCTTGGCTATTGTAAATAGGGCACAGAACATGGGGATGCAGATATCTTTTCAAGACATTTTTGTTTGTAAATATATGATCATGTGTGTATTTATGCATCGTATATGATAAAAATGAATTTATTTAATATACTGTTTTATAATTCTTTAATGTAACATTATTACTAGAATATTTCCACATCAGACTATAGATACAGATATACAGATAGATGGATCCAGTTACTATCAATATAAATACATGTATTTATCCAGTGAATATAAATCTCATCCTTCATAAGATGTACAGTATTCCATTATATAGATGCTATACTTTTTTAATCAATTCTCTTTTATTGGTCATTGGCTTGTTCACAGCTTTTCACATGTTTTCCATGTTTTAATATAAAACATTTTTTGTTTTATTATAAAACATGTGCAATGAACATAATATTCTGGTAACAACACAGTAGAGGCATTGCAGAAAGTATTTCTTTAGGTGATTTGTTAATATAGAATTATTAGGTTAATGAGCAATTAGACCAGGATACAATTGAATGAGCAACCATAGGAGGTAGTATATTTCCCACTACTCAAGATATTGATGTAAAGATTGAATGTCTATTTTGTAGGGGCACAGTAGAGAAGAAATCAGCATTAGATCAGAAGAGAAGTAGAGGTTCTAAAATTCTTTCTAATTTTGATATTCTTTGATTCTCTGAGTGCTAAGAACAGACTCAACCTTTTGCTTCTCTCTGTAACACACTTGGGGAAGAAACTATGAATTATTTATATTATATATCCAGTTTATATATTAGCCTCATGTCCATAGATGTAAGATTGTTCTGAGATTCTGTAACTCTAAGATATATTTAATGGTGTCGTAAAGTCCATGATCTTCACACATTGGGGGAATATGTTTTCATCTCAGTTCTACCTAAGAGTGATTTTCCTGACAAGGGGAAGGGATTTAAATTCCCATCCCACTTCCTCAGCGTGGGAGAATACAGACTCAATGAGAAGCCTGAGATCCATAGAACATAACAAAAAGAGAAATGAAACATTATACAGAATAGGAGGAAACAGAGTTCCTTGCTAGAGATCATGAGAACTATGCATTAAAAAAACTGAACTTGGAACAGTTGTGGATAGTACCCATAATTACCTGACATTGATATTAAGTGCCCTGAGCAAACATACCAGAGTAGACCAGGGTAGGACAAGAAGAGCATGGAACACAAAGGAGAAGATCAGCAGAACCTGCGCAGTGAAAGAAAAAGAGATAATATGCTGGACCAGGAAAAAAGAAATCTATTAAACATAATTCCTTAGCAGATTAATTGAAATTAATATCAAAAAACTTAGAGATTTTTTTTTACTTAGAGTATATAGTGAGCTGGAATTACATATAAGTTAACTGCTTAATAGTGTGTATATTCTTATCCATACTGCAGTCATTTTCAATTCAAACCTCTGCTGAATTTTAAATAAAATATAGGCAAAATGCCCTCCAGCTGGTGTTATGAATATATATGTGGACTTTAAGAAGACCTCACATGAATCATATTCATAATTCTTATGTCCAGCATGGGTTAGGAAAGAAAGTAACAGTTCAGGTGGCTACCCTAACACAACCTAGTCAGGATTGGATATATATACGTCACAGAATGGTGATGCTATCATATTTGCAATTTCATGTCATCATCACAAAGTTATTATGGTATTTATAAAAGTAGTACATATAAATTCATAGACACTTTATTCATAATGCCTGGCACATAACATTACATGCTAAATGTAATTCCTCTGAATGCATCCCTGAGGCAGAAGAACAGTGGGACAAAGAGACAGGAGTATTCTAGGTTAAGGGAATGGCAAAGTAGAATGGAGGATAAAAGCAGACTACAGATATAGATATACAGATAGATGGGTCCAGTTACTATCAGTATAAGTACATGTATTTATGTACATAGATGAACTAAAGAGATCAAGGGAGATGAACTAAAGAGATGAACTAAAGAGATCAAGGGAGATAAGCAATTCCACATATCTTGAAGAGAAAGGAAATAGATTAAGTCCAAGTTTTCCAAATCAGATCTTGGAATGCTAGTCCTGCATGGTGTTAATATGAATGATCCACAAAAAATGGCTCCTTGGTCAAAGAATTTTGGACAGGGATGCCTGGGTGGTTCAGTTGGTTAAGTGTCTGCCTTCAGCTCAGGTCATGATCCAAGGGTGCTGGGATCAAGTCCAGCATCAGGCTCCTTGCTCAGCAGGGAGCCTGCTTCTCCCTCTCCCTTTGCTGCTTCCCCTGCTTGTTTTCCCTCTCACTCTCTCTCTCCATCAAATAAATAAATAAATAAAATCTTAAAAAAACAATTTTGGACAGCAACATACCATATCTGCTTTTTGCAGAATCAAAATACACACAAGCATATTAAATAAAGGCTCTCAGAAGTCTTATGTAACTTGGTATTTATCAAAGTTAAATAAATTTAAGTACTAAATAAAACTGTAACTGGTTATTTATCAAAGTTATTTGATATTAGATTTTCATATAACTCATTTTTTAAAAATCTGTAGTGATCTATTTGTAAATTCTTCTTCAACTAGAGTCTAAGACACATATCAATGCAATTGCTGTTTCGCATAATTCAGCAACAAAATTTGAAAAAGTGTGGGTTTTGTACTCAGACCTGAGTTCAAATTCTGATTCCACCCATTCTTATATACATGACTGCACAAGTTTGCTCAGTATGCCCCTCAGAGGGTGGTTAAAAGGGAAACACCTTTGCTAGAATCATTAAATAGTAGATATTTGATAATTTTACAGTATTCAAATTTAGATAAATAGGAACTACAAAAAAATTAGGACTGAAAGTAATGATTGTATGGATGGAGTACTTGATAAACCTTTAGAAATCTTACACATGGAAGGGTTTTGAATGAAATAATGATGCATTCATATTTAAATTTTTTTTTACCATCCAAAGATATTAAAGATGCTTGCAAGAGGGGCACCTGGGTGGCTCAGAGGGTTAAGCCTCTGCCTTCGGCTCGGGTCATGATCTCAGGGTCCTGGGATCGAGCCCCGCATCGGGCTCTCTGCTCAGCAGGGAGCCTGCTCCTTCCTCTCTCTCTCTGCCTGCCTCTCTGCCTACTTGTGATCTATCTCTGTCAAATAAATAAATAAAATATATAAAAAAATTATTAAAAAAAAAAAGATGCTTGCAAGAGAGCAATTGAATTAATGCTCCGTATTAGTGGCTCTCAAATTTTAAGTGTATTAGAATCATCTGGAGGGTTTTGTAAAACACAGGTTGCCCAGACTTCACTATTAGAGTTTCTGACTTAGCGGTTATACAGAGGGACCCAAGGAAATTGTGTTTCTTTCCATTTCCAAAGAGATCCTGATGCTAATGCTTGTGCGGCTGGTTTGTAGACCACACTTTGTGTATCACTGCTCTGTGTAACATGGACTTTGGGTGAAGGATGAAGCCAGCTGTGGTTGGATACACTTGAAGAAAAAGTAGTGAAGTTTCTAGGTACAAAATCAGATGGAAGTGTAAGTTTAGTAGTAAATGGGTAATCTCAAGGGCAGGAGGTTTGGTACAGAGAATGTATTACAGTAATCTAAGATTTTAGAGTTGGATGCTATTTCACATTTGACAAAAAAAAAAAAAAAAAAATTTACCTTAGATGATCACTACATTTGAGAGGGCCAAAAAGTTGTAATAGTAGAGCAATTGGATAAGTCTCTCAAGTAACAGTTAAGTTTTCCTAATGGTAAGATTGGGGCAGAGACAAAAGCAATGAATCAAATGTAAAAACCCCACACAAAAGATTAGGAGTGATCAGTAAGATTATCATGACAAGGAAAGAAACAGGACAGCCAGACAAATGGTGTGAACCAAAAAAGGAGGAGAATTTCAAGTAGAATGTTAATGCTACCTCATGATACTTGACACCTGGCAACTGAAAGAAGGAGCAGGGATGCCTGGGTGGCTCAGTCACTTGGGCATCTGCCTTTGGCTCAGGTCATGATTCCAGGGTCCTGGGATCCAGCCCCTCATTGGGCTCCTTGCTCATGGGGGAAACTGCTTCTCCCTCGCCTGTCATGCCCCCAGTTTATACTTTCTCTCTCTCTCTCTCTGACAAATAAGTAAATAAAATCTTAAAAAAAAAAAAAAATGGAAACGGAAGAAGGAGCAGCTTCTCCTGCTCAAGGTTAAAGGGTAGCAGTATTTTCTAGGAACCATTTCAAATAAGGTAAAATAAAGGGAGGGGGCATGAAGAGTGTTCTTTGAATAGCACTGATGGACAATCAGTTTGCAAATAAAATTCCAGTTCCATAGGGCACAGTGGAAAGATCTGGGAAATATAGCCACAGCGCTTGAGAAAACAAACATATGAAGAGACTTTATTTTGATAGGGGCAGTGGAGCAAGGCAAAGTGGCCAAAGATAACAGAAATAAAAGGCAAAATTAGCTGATCTCAAGTTTCTGAATTGAACTTTGGCATAACACTTGCTCTTGTGTGGCAGCTGATGTACGTGTCCAGCCTTACACTGTTTCCCTCTGTGAAGCAGGACTGCTTACACTAGGGATGGCCCATTATTACCCATACTTAAGGGGATTAAGAAATGAAGTGCCTTTGGTTGGGGGAAGAAAAAGCAAACGAGAGAGTAGCCATAAAGTCTAGAAATAAAGGTAATATTTTTGTTTGCAGATTAGAACCTGCTTACTTTCTTCTTGAATGCTATAGGTACAGATCTATTCAGTGAAAAATAGCAACACAAATCACCTGAGAAGGTGATCACAAATGCATATGTAGGGATAGATTTAAATGCTGCATTAACGCTCTATGTTCATTGCAACTCTGACTAAATTATCATTACAACAGAGGAAGAACACCCAGAACATATGAAATGTCATTGAACATATCATGTTTTGTTGTGTAGACTGATAAACTACTTATTACATATTTATGTCTATGTTTCTAGATATTGTGGCCTCCCTGAATAATCAGGAGGTAGAGACTCAGGCTTGGCTATTTCTCAAGTCACCTTCAAAGGTCACTTAAACAATATGAACTAAATGAACTTCATTCATTCAATTCATTCAGTAAATATTTATTAAGTAATCAATAGTGAATATATAAATATTTATTAAATAAATGTGTTGAATACTTACAATGTCAAATAGGAACATTAAGAATAAATTTTCCCTAATAGGTTAATTTTGGGGATTAAATATGTGGAAGCAACTTATCAATTGTGAAGTCTTGAATAACTAGTAGAAACTTTCTGAAATTTATTTTAAATGTTAACAAATGGATAATCCTTTTGTCCTAATATGAAGGAGAAAGTCACATATAACATATGTTTAAGAATATAAGGAAAGCCATGTTGTTGGTCTGAAGAATGTTTAATTATACTGAAGTTGATATATAGTTTTGGTATATTTAGTCAACATTTCATAACAACTCATTTTGAAGAAATTTGGCAGCCTGCTTTGAACAGTTGTTGTATTTTTAATATCTAACTATGGGATTTAAAACATGCTTAGTGTAATTACTAAATGTTATTTATTTTATTCTGTCAAAGCTTTAATTTTTAATGTTTATCATGTATGCCTCCCTTAATTTTCTGGATGACTTTGTATTGTAGATAACAATTTGGAACACAGTGTAAATTTAACTAAATCAAGTTGAAGTTTATATTAAAAGCAGATTTTTCTACCCAAATGTATTACTGCATGTTTCTTTATATGTCACTTTTTCTTATTTTCATGCTCTATAGTGTTTTCTTTATGATACAAACCTGCACTCAGTGAAATAATTCCTCGCTTGATACTATCTATATACACATTCTCCCTCCCCCTCCTATTTTTAGTTTATAGAGATGGAATGACATTCTTAGAGTAGAACATATGGCCTTGGACTGAGCTAGAATGTAGACTGCACTTATTAATTGTGTATCCTTGGGAAAGGATAGTTAACAGATCTGAGTTTATAAAACCAGAGTAATATCATCTATATATTAAGTTGTCAAGATTAAACGAAATACTACATAGCACATACCATCAAAAATTTAATAAGTTCTCTCCCATTTTCTCTTCTTTTGAAGATTCATGTGTTTCTATATAAGCCTTAAAATGTAAATGACTCATAGTAGGCTTTAAGGAGAAACAGAATGATATAATTCTAATTACTCAAATAGACTTTATAATTCTATTTTATGTTAGCATATGTGACAATTT